AATTTACCGTTTAACTCAAAGCTAACGATATACAAGTCTGAAACTGTTAATTATTTTATGGACGGACCACTAAACCCGTTCCCTGAAAATGTATTCGTGATTCGATTACAAAGAGGAAATATAAGTCCTTTGATGAAGCTTGATGCTTTAGGCCAAATGCAAAAGGCCCTCACTTTGAATCGTGCTTGTTCATTTGAATCCGGACTGTGTAACCACAATTTGGCACTCAACAAGGTACGTTCGTGTGTCCTCAGGCTATACTGAGTTTAACCTTGTTTCGGGTCAATATGCCTATTTTCCTGTTCTTTTTTATAATTTTGATATATATTTTTTTTTTAGTTCATCGATACTAGTTTGACGAAGGAATACGTAGGAAGTTTTACGTTTGGCTGACATATTCCTTTGTCAAACTAATATCGATGAACTTTTTCAAAATAAAAATATTCCAAAATTATAAAGACAAACAAAGAAATAGACTAGATGAAACCAAAAAATTTAAATTCAGAATAGCTGTAGGGTACACAAAAGAAATTTCATATTTTGAAAGTAACGGAAAAGGTAGTGACAATTTATAAGCAATAAAATTACTTTTTTCAAAAATCCATAAAAGTACTGTACTTATATCAAGAAACCGGTTCTACCCTGAGCGAACTGGTTCATATCTGGATACCAGGATTAACTCTATTTTATCATAAACGGGTTCCCATACTTAAAGAATTAGCTAATCTTAGAGATATCAGTACAAAAGTTAGGCAAGCCATCTTTCTCAATTTTAAACTCATTCCGTATTCATATTAAATATTAAATATACCGAATACACTTATGAAATATTTAAAACGTTGTGAAGTACATTCAACTATACAGAATAAACTGTAGTCAAAAGGAGAGTAGTAGCTTACATAATAGTGAGTCCGGTGCTAACAATCGAAAAAAGGTATTGCAGGTACATGTCAACCAGAGTTAATTTAAAGTTAACTTGGAACGTTTTGAACAGGAAAAGATCGGACTACTGCGAGCAGTTTAACCCCTTGCTACAAATGTTATTTCCACTATGGTAAAAAGTTAACCAATGTTATGGATCCAAAAAATTCAAAATCAAATCCGTCAACATATCTGTTTATCTTGCACAGCTGTAAGACACATACGGTGTTGATATGTGCACCGTAAGCATCAGTGTACTATTTTATAATTTATGGGCGGAACACACCGACAATAAGGTAGAACGAAAGTAATTGTCAATCAAAATCACAACAGCTGATTCACAGGAATTTTAAGAGTAGGACTAATACTATTATCGGCCGAAACCGTAAGACATTTCTTTTGTTCATAAAATTATTATCTAATAGCAGATAGGTAAATTATATTGGATAACACACATTTAAATTGAACTAAAATAACAATAAAATCAAATTTTCAACCAGGGGTTGAGTTTATCTTATATTTATTTGTATTTGTTGTATCAAATGTTTAAAATGCGCTAAAGAAATAGAAATATTCTAAATATTAACATTAAAACAGCAATGTTGTCTGATTTTCAACCCATACAGAACATTTCAAGGTTTTTAATTATTTTATTTGTAGATTGTTAGTGCACATTCAGCTCGTTATTTAAAACAATAACTCAAAGACTTATTTTAAGTGTGGACTAAAGATTGTATTAAGAAACTATTAAAATTTCATATAAAATAAGGCCTTATATATAGAAATCTTGTTATTTCTTCTTCTTGTTTTTAGGGATATAAATGAATAGAATGTGCAAAGGTCTAGAGAGAGATGAAAATGCGACAGAAATGTGTATCAGGAATATTGGTTTATCAAAGTGTAAATATGCATTAGGTTTTTCTGTGCGCGTATGCAAATAGAACGTCAGAACCCTTGGGGCTGTGCCGTGGTACGGAAATCTATTTAACAGTAAATGAAAGCAGTGACGGACACAAGCACGGGTGATTGGCAATAAACTTGCATGACAAAACTGATAGTTTATTGATACGTGGTCCAGGATACATGTAACTGTTGAGCAAAATGTTGCTACAGGAAACTAGCTGGTCAGCATCTACAGTTTGTGGATATGTAGACACTGAATGTAGTAGATGTTGATCAAAATGTAGCTACAGGAGACTAGCTGGTCAACATCTACAGTTTGTGGATATGTAGACACTGTATGTAGTAGATATTGATCAAAATGTTGCTACAGGAGACTAGCTGGTCAACATCTACAGTTTGTTGATATGTAGACACTGCATGTAGTAGATATTGATCAAAATGTTGCTACAGGAGACTAGCTGGTCAACATCGACAGTTTGTTGATATGTAGACACTGTATGTAGTAGATATTGATCAAAATGTTGCTACAAGAGACTAGCTGGTCAACATCAACAGTTTGTGGATATGTAGACACTGTATGTAGTAGATATTGATCAAAATGTAGCTACAGGAGACTAGCTGGTCAACATCGACAGTTTGTTGATATGTAGACACTGTATGTAGTAGATATTGATCAAAATGTTGCTACAGGAGACTAGCTGGTCAACATCGACAGTTTGTTGATATGTAGACACTGCATGTAGTAGACATTGATCAAAATGTTGCTACAGGAGACTAGCTGGTCAACATCAAAAGTTTGTTGATGTGTAGACACTGAATGTAGTAGATGTTTGTCAAAATGTTGCTACAAGAGACTAGCTGGTCAACATCTACAGTGTATTGATGTGTAGACACTGAATGTAGTAGATGTTTGTCAAAATGCTGCTACAAGAGACTAACTGGTCAACATCTACAGTGTATTGATGTGTAGACACTGAATGTAGTACATGTTAGTCAAAATGTTACTACAGGGGACTAGCTGGTCAACATCTACAGTGTATTGATGTGTAGACACTGAATGTAGTAGATGTTTGTCAAAATGTTGCTACAAGAGACTAGCTGGTCAACATCTACAGTGTATTGATGTGTAGACACTGAATGTAGTAGATGTTTGTCAAAATGTTGCTACAGGGGACTAGCTGGTCAACATCTACAGTGTATTGATGTGTAGACACTGAATGTAGTAGATGTTTGTCAAAATGTTGCTACAAGAGACTAGCTGGTCAACATCGTCAGTTTGTTGATATGTAGACACTGCATAGTAGATGATAATCAACAATTTTATACAAGAGACTACTTTAATAATATGCATGCCTCTCGTGTAGATGTTGATTAAAAGTTAAACAAAATCGACTAATCAATATTGACCGTTTGTTGATATTTAGACTACACATGGTAATGTTGATCAAGTCATTGTTAGTAAACAGTTTTTTGTCAATACCGATAAATTTAACTTCAAGTCCAGGTTATAAGTAGTAGTTTATCAACTGTTGCCAAAAAACTGAATACTCAATATAGATTAATTAACAACCTATATTGACAAAGTAGTCTCGTTTGGTAGCATTTTCATCAACATCTATAACTAAATAATACACACAGACAAGATCAATATAGAGACAAAGTGTTTAAATTTGTATGCTAATCAACATGTTGTTACAATAGGCTGGTTTGTTTTTATTAATTGTATATACATGTCATTAATGATGAAAAATATTTATCTTGTTCCTTGTTCTGCTTCTTTATCACTGCGCATTATTTCTACAACCATTTTTACCACGAAGTCATGTAATTACATCCTGTACTACGAGACCATGACCCTTATATGTTTAAGAGTGAAATTATAGACTTGATAAGAAATATTGGATACTATATGCCTACCAGCATAGTCAGAAAATTTAGAATAAATAGATTCTTGCCTACAAAGCATCTAAAAAACAAGTCATATTAGTTTTGAGGATCATTTTATCAAAATCATCGTGATATTGCACCTAAGACTTTACACATGTAAATTGTATACTTTATTTCACAAATAAAACTTTATCATCGCACAGCTGAATTTTTTGTATACTCTTACAAGAAAGATCCACCCCTTTTTAAGTTTACTAGTCCTATTTAACTCTTGCTAGTCCTTTAGTTACTTTTACTAGTCCTTTAGTTACTTTTACTAGTCCTTTTTAGTTTTTAACTTTAAGTAAACCAGTTTTAACGGAATATATTAAATAGTATTCATAAATGTAAAGAAATTGTAGGGACTATATTTTATTGTATTTTAATATTTGTTTTTTGAGTAATCACAAATATTCTTAATGACAAACAATCATTATAAATTTTTTTATATATATTGAAACATTTTATATACTTTATTGGATAGATATTTATACCAGTTGAGGAATTATGTTAACAATTGATGATGGAATAATATGTGAATAATAGTTGGTGAAAACTACTATAAATGTTGAAACTGGTATACATTAAACGGAAAACACAAGCAAAATATATATTCTGGTTATATTATTTTCTGGCTGTTTTCTCATTTCAAGTAAGATCTAATAAAACTATTTGAACTAAACCTAGCATGAGTTGGAAAATAATTAAACTTTAAAACCAAAAGCTTAACTCTATATAATGTATTTATTACAAAAACAAATTGTGAAGCCTTTTTTCATCATCATTAATAATGCACGTTTAATATTCCCCTTTCAATGGAATTATGAATATATATTTTATCATGGTTAATTACACTTTTTTAACGGAAAATTATCAAAAACATCAATTATGCTTAAAAACCCAATACAATAAAAAATAAAAAATTCACCTACTATAAATAAACATCAATATGTTTGTTCACACAAATTGAAGGTATCTAAAGTGAATGCAGTCGACCATTTAATTACTAAGACAGCAATCGGTACTTATTATGTTAATATTAATTATCTCTATTTACTTTGTGACATGATAATATTACAAATGATATTACTTATTTGATCTAAAAACTGTCATTAAGCTTAACATCCTTCAGTGAAGTCTAATACTTACTTGATTTCTTCCAACTAAGCATTCATCACACGTTGAAGGAAACCTGGTTCCTAGTAGATAGTTTTGACCCAGTTGAAATAACACGAATGTGTTTTTTTCAGGATGTAAAGGAAGGGTAGCAGCTGTATATTCGCAGTCGAAAAGGTAAGCGTTTAATTTGAAATAATAAAGTGCTTTTTAATATAAAATTTTGATTCTAAATCTGTCTTTTGTTTTCTAAAACCAAATGGGTTTAATAAAGATATTTCTTATTGAAAAAGACATAGGTAATCAAGAACCAAATATAAAATCAAAGAACTCCTCATGCCTAAATTTAATCATATTTTAAAAGTATTCACTGTGCTGAAATTGATGTATCATTAGGAGATTAAAGATTTAATAAATAATTCACTCATTAACTTTTTTCCATATGATTTAACACAATTAGTTACAAAATAACTTACTTATAACATTTTGTGTACAAGTATAACGATTAAAGATTGACAAATTTTTACTTCGATAAACAAGGAATAATATAATATATATCTCTGTAAAATATATGAAAACACCAGAGGAAACGAAATAAACGATAAAGATCTTCGAAAACAGAAAAGAGCGATAGGATGAAATAATGTAGATCTCATTATTGATAAACCGTATGGAAGCGAAAAGGCGTCAATTGACTTTGATGAGGAAGTTGAGTTGTATTGATCTCACGAACTTCTCTTATCAAATCACCTTCTGTCAGATAGTGGGGTTTCTCTTCGCTCGCCACCAACATCAGAGCCAGGTTTGGGATAAAACACGGTGAAATAAATGTGCGCTGTGAGTTATTGGTGAAAGAATGTTTCATTCACATGTACAAAATATATATTATATTATATATATTATAGATTATATATATTATATTATATATATTATATTATATATTATGTAATATATTATATATATGTATATCATTAAACAATTGGGATTTTAATTTTGAATTGTTTTAACATTTAAAATTATAAAACAAAATTTGTAAATATTTGTTTTTATTTTTTATTTTTTTGGGGGGGATTTTAACATATATTAATTGTACTGAAGACTATGCCGGTAATTATATAGCTATAAGAATAGTCGTACAGTAGTTAGAAACATGGTGCGAGGTTAATATTTTTTTATTAAATTTGTTCAAGAGGTATGGTATGAATAAACCCCTAACCCTAAAATTCAGAACAATAGTGTCAGAAACATTAATACTTCACTGGGAAATAAGGTGAGTATGATGGCTGAATAATGTTTTAGAGTTTTCTATCATTTTATCTTTAAATTTCAAGGTCATTACTCCAATTTTGCATTTAGCACTAGTGCTATAGTTATAGTATTAAGTTTTTTGGGTTAGCAAATCTATTGTGGTATCAAGTTAGTTAACTATCCACTTAAAACCAAAATTGGCAAATATACGTAACAATTTATAGATAAAATAAATTTGGTTAAACAAGGTATAATTACAGTACTTAGATTGATAAATAAAGCTACAAGATAAAAACCAAATGACCTAGGCTAAGGTTGAATTTAATTAATTAATTTTAAATACCTGTTCTTATCATCATAAACAGGCTTCCAGATCACTGATTGTAGTACCATGGTATTCACTGTTGACTCTGTCAAAAACGACAAATGATTGATACCAACAGATGTGGCACTATGCATTGAGGCTTGAACTTGAAAGAGGATTAGTTAAAAGAATAAGAAAAGATGTCTTGTGTCGTTTTTGGCACAGTCCACCGTAAAAGAATAGGAATCCATAGAAACAGGCCTATCCGTTCTAGTTTGGCTGTAGTATTCAAGTTAATATCAAAATAATCTATAACATATTCTATAAAAGAGTTCATAATTAAATCTGCATTTTAAACCTTTCTTCAATTTCAGTTATCGTAATATTTTAAGATTTTAAAGTATTTTAAGATCGAGCACAATATGTTACATTGAAGAGGTGTTAGCAGGACTGAAATATTGTAGATTTTTCCTAGTAAAACAAAATCATATTGATACCTCGTTGGGACGATTTACACTTTAATCGTGGAAAAGGTTTTAAATTTAAACGCCGGGGAATTTACGTGTATGAGAGACTACTATATCATTCCAAACGAGAAGTCCTCATTTGTATGTACGGAGCTGCCGCTGAAATGAGATCTGGAATGGTTCAACATAATACCCTAATGGAATATAAATTCTGGAATCCGGCTTCTCTTGAGAAGAGGGTTTAAGTGGGATCTACGGTAGATCACCTCCAATAAAATGGCTTTATCTAGGACTGCAGTAAACCGTTGCAGTAACAATTAAAACAAACTTAAAAAACTGTATTTAGTGCTAACTAATTTCAAACAAGAAAACTGTAACTACACTTTTTAATTTAAACAGTATTTAATTAAATATAAAATTATTTTAAACTACTTTTTTGTTCCAAAAAAAAAATAATAATTTAATTGTATTTTGTATCAATTATTTTTTTATATTCTAATTCATATTGTAATTTTATAGACATTATTCTAACTGCCACAAACTGTTTCCACACTCAGAACTACTCGCCTTTAACTCTTCCTTCACCCCTTCCTACGACGTGGACCTGTTTTCTTCCTTTCCCATAGCATTTTAGTATTAGCTGCCACAAACGGTTCCCCTACTGTGTGCATTGACTACTTCCTTCACCACATCCTACGTCATGGACCTGTTTCCCTTCCTTCCCATTGCATTTTAGTATTATTGATTCATTTATTTCACTGCCACAAAGGGTTCCTACAATCCGCACTGCTCGCCTTGACAGCTTTCTTCACCACTTCCTACGTCATGGGCCCGTTTCCCTCCCATTCCATACCATATTAGTATTGCAGATACATTAATCTGTCTGCCACAAACGGTTTGCACACTCCGCACTGTTCGCCTTTAATACTTCCTTCACAACTACATACGCCGTGAACCTGTTTCTCTCCATTCCAATAGCATTTTAGTATTACAGATACATTTATCTAACTGCCACAAACGGGTCCCACACTTCTATATATAGTGCCACAGCTCACCTTTCCACTCCCATCACCACTCCCATGGCAATTTCTTAAGGTTTAAATACACGTAGAAAAAACACTTTTAGCTTTTCAGGTTTATACCTTCCCATAGTTGGTTACTATAACTGTGCGAAATTGCACCCAGATCGCTTTAGCCGATCAGGAGATGTATGTGGAAAACAAAAGCAGGAGTGTTGTAGTGTAGTATAAGAGCTACGCTCGCTTTGCTTGCTTTGCTCGCTTCATTCACTTCGCTCAAAAATGTACTCTTGTAATCCAAAGAGATTACGTACGTTATAAGTAATAGATCGAATTTTGGATACTTAATCCACATCTTTAAATCCATCCCAATCACAAATGTATTGCGCAATTCCTGAAACGTCAGAACTATAGTTATTCTGAAAAAAAAACTCCAATATTATGACTACTTAAGTTAAAATAATTTAACAAGACTATAAATAAATAAGAAGATAGATATTCCTGTTTGACATTTAATCATACTATGTATATTATAATTTTGAAACTGGTTTTATAAGTTAACTTCTCTTCATATCCTTAAACACCTGCATTTTGCTCTTCTCAACACAATCCTTCGCCACAGACTTTTGTTGTTTAACGTAAGTGATCTTCGCTTTCTTCCTATCAGGCACTTAGCCGCCGGCGTTGCATGGAACCCTTCTCTGCTACTATGTATCATCCCTTCATTCAAACCTAATTTTAAAAGTTTTTTCACGTCGTAGGAAAGCAATTTTATCTTCTTTTTCTTCAAGCCTTTCATCACTTCATATAATTTGACACTCTCTGAAGTCTCACTGTTAAGGTCCCTCACCATTCCAACCACAGTAGAAAATTCGGAAAACCCCATTTTACAGGAAATTGATATATTTACTTACAATTTTTGTTTCGAATACTTGTAAAAATTTTGTGAATTATGGTTGCTATGCAACATAAAATAAAAGGTACGTTAAAAGAAAAGGATTATATAGCTAAAATAAATGAAAGGAAATCGAATAAAACGTCTATAATTATTATATTACTCTTAAAGAGTGTAATATCAGTAAATACACTCAGATCACAGCATATAAACTTCAAATATAGTTTTAATTTTTGTTTCATTGCTTATTTTTCTAAATAAAAATATTACAGTAATTGAATACAATGAGTTATACGGCTGGAAATAGTTAAATATCACTGAAACATAATTATTTGTTCTAGCATGCACATTAATTATGATGAAATTGGTATATAGTTTGAACAGGACGTTTAAAGCTAAAATATATAAAACAATTATTTTAAAAATAAGATTTTATTAAAATAAATATGTTTTAGATTAAACAGATATATATCATGAAACTGTTTAGTTTACCTAGGTTATACCCGTGTTGCAGCAAACCTGCTGACCAAGTGAATTTCCATTTGGCTCATCGAATATCCACTGTAATAATCTTTAAAATATTGTTAAATTTATTCCCCCTTTACGTAACATTAGGGTTTGTGAGATTTTAGGTTTGCTACTACAATTATTGCAATAAAGTGGGCTTATAGCTCGTTAATAAGTAAATACAAATTTCAGACTCGACCAAAATGTGTCCATAAACAAGTAACCTACAACGGTTTACTCATACTCCATAAGATTGACATGGGAATTTCAAATTTATATTTTTATGAATTGTCTCCGGAGCCATTAAATTTAACACTTTTTAATTCATTTCCACTTCATCTTAATCTTGAACCAAACCTGTTAAAATTAAAAAAAAACAATTAAAATCTTTGTTGATAAAGTTTACCTGTTACAGCGTCCAAGAATTTGTTAATAAAATCAGCTTGATGAATAGTGATGTAGCCTAGATATGTATATAAAACTGTATAACTTTAAGTACTGTATAAGACCTCTGTAAATAGTTCTTAAGTATATATAAGGTAATTTTTATTTAATGATGACTTAACCAATACAAATTGTACAATAGTTTGTTAATTCTGGCTTAATAAATTACTTGATTTGATTTGATAAAGCCTACTCCCTATAGACTAAAAATGCTAATTTAGACCCACATAGCATCCATAAAAAACGGACATTTTGCTGAAGTATGACGAAAAAGCATTTATATTTTCCTCGGA